GGACTGCAGGCTGTGTGCTTCTGCACAGACTGTTGTACTGTTGGGAGTGGTGGGGAGCAAAGGGATTGATCAGTTCCCGAGGACAGTCGAGATCTTTGGAGGAGGAGTTTATACATTTTGTCTGTTTGAATTGATGTAAAATTGTGGTTGCATATAGGATGTCATCAATGAAATATAAGGGCTTATGGGATTTCCATATTCTTAAATGCAGTTATCACAGAGATAGGCTTCATTAAATAATGAAGCCATCCAGGCATGGTGGCACCCCTTTAATCTCAGCACTGCAGAGGCAGAGGCAGGTAGATCTCATGAGTTTGAGGCCAGCCTGGTCTACAGAGTGAGTTCCAGGACAGCCAGGGCTACACAGAGAAACCCTGTCTTTAGAGGGTTGGGGGTGGGAAGCCAACCGCCCTTTTCCATTTTCTCCAATTTTTCACAGTCTTGGCTGCGTATTGTCGTGCAAGAAAGCACAAGTGTATCAGAGTCATTGAGATGGGTTTTGCTTATTTAAATTTAAAAATGTTACCTATTTCCTGTAAAGGATGAGATAAACGTCTCAAGCTAACTGTAACCCTTATTTCAGTTTCCTGTAGGCAGTGTTACGTACCCATCAGTAATGACATGATTATGGCTCAGGGTTTGCCTAGTGTGCTGACTAGTAAATAGCTTGCTCATATATTGAATGATGAGTGCATTGCTGTTGGGCATTCAAGTTTGCATGTCTGTTGACACTGGGCTAATAATTACCATCCGAGTGATTGTGTGGCAGACATCAGATCAGAAGCATTGACTCCAGTGTGAGACTTTCCCAGATCCCAAGTTCCTAATTTCCAACAACACTGAAGTTTGCTTACTGTAGTCTAGTGGTTGAATTTGGTATAATCAAATCAGATTTCGGGGAAAAATACCAGCAGTCATTATTGGTGTTTAACAGCACTGTCCACACTCCGCCAGCAAATTTACCATTAACATTTCAGCCTAGTCAGCTAACATCACAGACCATAGACCCATTCAGTAGTGTGGCAAAACACTCCCACAGGCCGCCTCGGCTCGGCTCTCTTCGCTGACTTCTGACTTAGTGCTTCCTGTTCTCAGAGCAGGACGTTGGCTTTACTGTCTGCTGCCGTTCCCTCACTCCCGGAAAGCCTGTAACTTTCCCTTAGCCTTGCCTGTGTATGGGAGCTGGACGTGTGCTTGGTGAGTGGCCAGGCAGCTAACTCAGGAGACCGATGTTTGTTTGGAGGTGGGGTGGGAATGGCGTCGTGGCACTTAGCCCTTCACGGACACTCTAAAGCCATTTAAATGCAGTGTTAGTTCTTGATGTGATTTCAAATGCTAACTTCACTCTGTTCAAACTTGTGCCTACGTGCCTGCCTTTGTCTTGACCCATCACTTTAACATGCTTTGTCTGCACGTACTTCTCCACACCAGAAGAGGGCAGCAGATCCCTGTGAGCCACCATGTGGTTGCTGGAAGGTGAACTCAGGACTTCTGAAAATGCAGCCAGTGCTCTTAACTGCTGAGCCGTCTCTCCAGCCCTCACCTTAACTTTGAAATAACATTTATTTGTATGTGTGGAGGAGACACTGCCCATGAGAGGAAGTCAGAGTAAACCTGGAGGAACCATTTCTCTCCTGTCATGTGGGGTCCACTTCATCAGGAGGCAAGTGCTGCCTTGAACTGTTTCAGTAGCCCTGGGAGCATCTGTTAGTCGCTGTTTAAATGAACAATTGCATTGGCATGTGAATTAAGATGTCTGTTTTTCTGTGTTGAGGTTATGAGGACAGCAAATCGCCCAATTGCTGCTGGTGACATTTCAACCTTCCAGGCCTTCGTCTTCCTTGGAGGACAGCTGACCTTGGCACTGGGTGTTCTCCTGTGTTTGAACTACTACAGGTACATCAGATGTGCTTTCACAGTTGTGTGTTAAATATCTCCTCTGACATGTAAAATGGGGGAATGAAGTAGGATTCTCTTTATTAGAAATCTATGTATTGACCCTGGGAAGGACCTGTGAGTCATCAGGGCACAGGACCTCAGCCTACCCACTGTCAGATCTGCTTCAGAGGCACTGTGGCTGAGAGCAGCCGAGAGCAGCCTCGCTCTGAAGCACTGGTAGAGTTTGCTCTAGGTGTTCTTGATAGGACACAGAGCACATCCCTGGGTTCTCAAGTGCGTATGCAGCCATATGCGTGTATAATTTTACTCTGGCGGCCTGTTATTGCTTAGTACCTGGAAGCAGAAGTGGTTAGGGCTCGGTTAGCAAAAAGTGGAACCAACCGTCTTTCCCAGAGCCTGTAACTAGTCAAAATAGCAGAAGAGAAAAATGTGGGAACCCATTCTTGGGGTTCTTAAATAGACACAGCATCAGATGGCTGTTTTCAGAGCACTTCATGAATAAGGAGAGGAGCCAGAGCAGAGAGCTCCCACAGAAGTATTTCATAGGCCTGGTCACGTCAGGCCCCAACGGCTTTAATAGGACGAAAGGCTGTCTTAGATCAACTTTGAGGAACCTCAGAACATCTGATGTTTCTGTGGCTGTTTCTCTTTCTTTTTATGTTTATTTTATAGATGTTTTGGTTTTTTTGAGACAGGGTCTCAACTATGTAACCATGGCTGTCCTGGAACTTACTCTGTAGACCAGGCTGGCCTCAGACAGACTCACAGAGATCCTTCACCTTCCCCCTGCTAGGATTAAAGGCGTTTGTGCATATCTGCTGTCTTCTCTTTCTTGAGCATGCCTGCTGTGGATGAAGGGAAGCTCCCGAGCGAGTCTGATGATGTCTGTTAGACACATGCAGAGCAAGGGGCATGACTCACCTAGTGAGGTACTTGCCACATAGTGTGCTTAGTCCTTAGCCCCCTCTGTAAAGTCAGGGACGAGCTGTGCTTGTAATCCCAGCACTAGAGAGGCAGAGGCAGGCAGATCTCCAGGCTTGCTGGCCGGCCAGCCTCTCCTGGTTGACGATCCCCAGGTTCAGTGAGTACCTTGTTTCAGAAAGCAAGGTACCACTTCTCAGGATCACATCTGAGGTTAATCTTTCGTCATCTCTCATGCACGCACACACAAACACATGCATGTACACACACGTGTGCACACACACACTTTATTTTGCTGCACACCGTGGGATTTGCAAACAGTTTAGAGGCAGCCAACAGTACAGGGTGGATTACGTTGGTGGGGCTGGAGCCAGGTTGCTTTAAGATTTGCGTCTCCATGAGCTGGATGACACGTGGCTCCTTCATGGCTTGGTGAGTCAGTTTCCACTCTATAGAATGCCTGGGGGAGGGACTAGAGGAGAAGGCGGGGCAGGAAGGGGAAGGGAGAAGGAACTTGGGGTGCAGGAGTGGGGTGGGGGTGCTGCCGGGTGGTGGTGACCTCGCTGCTGTGATCCTTTGCCTTGAGCCCCATCCCCAGTTTGGAATCCCCAGTTTGGAGTGCACGCATCCATTACTCCATTGCCCTGGCGCCCTAACGACTTCTGACAGAAGCTAGAAATTGGTCTCTGGTTCTAGAAACAGGTTACTTGTGAGTTGAAAATTCACAGCATTTCAAACAATGGGGTGAATTAAAAATTCATTGGATTCAAAAAAAAAAGGAATGAGATTAAAACTGCCTGTTGCCTAGTGAAGCTCATGACTGACAGGGTTGAAGCACTTACAGTAGTACCTAGTACATCAGGCACCATATGTGTTAGCTTTGGTTTAGTTGGTTTTGTGACATGTAAAGTAATTTTCTAATCATTCCTACAGTAGGTAAAGTCAAACTCTAGGAAAAAATTTTCACAAAAATATTACCAAACACAAAAATATCTTGCAATTATTGTCACTAATGACTTGACAATATTTAGTGATTCTGAATGACGAGCTAACTCTGTAGCTTCTGTTTCCAGTATTGCAATGGGAGCAGCGTCCTTACTTCTTGTTGTCACCTACCCACTGATGAAGAGAGTCACGTTCTGGCCTCAGCTAGCCTTGGGTGAGTCCATTGATGCTGTCCGCCATGTTCTTATATCCTGCACAGTGTGCATGTGTGTGTGTGTGTGTCCGTGAATGTTAGGGTAACCAGCAGGTTTAACAGAGGATAAGTTTTCATGCTTTAAAGGGGTTCTCATTGGCTAGGAAATCTTACATTATTTATTATTATTATTTATTAAGATTATCAGGATTATTATTTTTCCGGAGTGCCTTTTAAAGCTCTAAACGTGTCATGAAAGGTGACTGATGAGAGTGTCCGTACTACAGAGTTTAGAAGAGAGGAGGAAGCACCTGAGAAGCAAAGTGACACTGACAGCTTCGAGGACTCCCGCCCTCTGACACTTTAGCACAGCACATCTGTAGTCTCTCGGCCTTCATTAATCGACTGGGCGTGACTAAAAAGCACCCCAGTGTTGGCAGCCGCTCAGAGGTGCTCAGGGCAGTAATGTTTTTCACGGAAGGAAAGCCTACTTCTGCATCCTTCCTGTACCTAGGACATTCTGAATTACTCCTAGGCCGATTCAAATTCTGTGAGCCATTTTTCTAGTAAATAAAAGAATCAAAAGACAGTTCATGAAATAAGTGAGGACCTGACTTGTGGGAAAGTGTGGTGAAGTGTTTATCCCACCATTGGGTGTCCTCTCCCTCTCCCTTCCCCCTCTCTTTCTTTCTTTTTTTTTTTTTTTTTTTTAATGTAGAAAGTAGCATTCCGGTGGATTTGGGAATCTCTTGGTAAAGGGAGTGCAGGCATTCCCTCTCTTCAGGCTAACATAGTAAAGCTGGTCTAGTTCCTCCTAATGTCATCAAGCCCCTACTTGTACTGCATGCCAGGAAGTGCACCAGGTGCGCAGGAGACAAACGACACTAAAACACAGTCAGTGTTTTATGGACTAGAGGACAGCAGACAGGCAGGCCATCAAAGTACATCGTGTCAAACACAGATGTGCTGGGACCACAAAGGAGAGGCATTTTCTCAGTAGAGGAAGGGTGTTCTGAATGGGAACAGACAGTGTAACAAAGGGAAAAGGTGCCTGCAGAGTGGCCTGAGACACTGTGTCTCAGGGCCTGAGAGCTCTGAAGACAGAATATCCATTAGAGAGCTGAGCATCTAACTGGACTTAGGGAGTGATCAGCCTTACAGATAGGATGTCAGTGTATGCTGTGCTTACAGACCATAGAGGCTGCGCTTGTGAGTGAGCAGTAAGTGTTATGTCTGAACTCCTGTCCCATAGCTCAGGAGAGGGAGAGGAACCAGTCCGAGCCCAGCAAATCACCTTAGTAAACGGTGTTATCCTTTTTATTGGCTCTGCTATTTTAATTCTTAGTTAAACTTTCTGTGCGTAGACTGTTGCTTTGTAAGATGAATCAAATAAATACCAAGCACAGGCAGTTGAGAAGACTCTGTGAAGGACAGAACAGCAGAGCAGGCTTGATGGTGTGAGCATGTGACCCGTGCGTGCTGAGCCCCGCACCCCATTCCTGTGCAGTGCTGACATACAATCTACTTCCCTCTTCCTCTGTCACCAATGTAGGGCTGACTTTTAATTGGGGTGCATTACTCGGATGGTCTGCTGTCAAGGGCTCCTGTGATCCAGCAGTATGCCTGCCTCTTTATTTTTCTGGAGTTATGTGGACACTGATATATGATACTGTGTATGCCCACCAGGTAAAGAGATGGTAGTTTTTCTTAACTCTGGTTTAGCTGCTGCTGTTTTCTAAGAACCCTTTTTGTTTCTTTATGTGGTTTGGTTTTACTTTTTTGAGACATTTCATGTTAGCCAGGCTGACCTTGCGCTTATTGTGAGGCCAAGGATGACCTCCAACTCCAAGTTGGTCTTGCCTCTGCCCCCTGAGAGATAGATGGGTTACAAATACGCAGAGACTTTTGAAATAAGAACCAGGTTAAAATGCAAGTTGTTATTTTTCTAAAAGGAAGATCATTCACAGTTCCCTCATCTAACAGACTGTATCTGTGTGTTTACTGGACAGTTCAGCTGATTGTTCACAGGCATTAAATGGTACTTAGTGTGTTCCAGACACTGTTGTAATGCTGTGTTAGCTCCCTGACAGCCTGCACAGAAGGATCTCTTTTGTGCCCACGGTTCCATGCGTAGTGGGAGCAGAGCTGAAACTCAGGCCGGCAGTCTCCATGGTCTGCACCTTCCGTTGCTCTCCCTCTCTGTCTGTCTCTAATCACCGTGTTAGGCAGACTTGGAGTTGTGTAGTAATAAACATTTCCTTTTTGTATTAGTTTAGTTTTTACAATGTTCGAGACAGAGCCTCCTGTGTCACAGGAGGCTGTCCTTGAACTCCTGTCCTTCCGTCACAGCCTCAGCTTCAGGGTCCCAGGCGTAAGCCGTTGTGTCTGATCATTCTCCATGTTTTAATCTATTCCTTGTCATTGTTACTTGACGTATGTTGAATAGTCCCTTGACTTGGAATGGGATCACTGTTTTAAATATAATGATATGTCTGTTTTGGCAAATCAAGCTGTTTCTGAGTTTTGACAATTATAAATAATATTCTCTTCATTAAAACTTCAGAATATTGTTCTTGGGGATCTGGAGAGATTTCTCCACAATTGAGAGCACTTGCTGCTCTCGTCAAGGACCAGGCTTTGGTTCCCAGCATTCACCTGGTGGTCCACAGGTGCCTGTCACTCCAGCTCCTGGGACTCTACACCATCCGAGTCTCCATGGCAGACATGAGGACACACACACGCACACATAAATTAGAATCAATCTTGTTGTGAAGGAGAGCACCAGCTCAGGTGCATACATTCTTATGACGTAGTACTTCCTGCCTGGTTTGTTTGGGATACTTCGTTTCTGCTTTTCTTGGTTCACGACTGGCCGTTTATATTTATCCTTTTGCCAGCTGCTGAGGTCCAGTTGACAAATATTGTCTATATCCAGTGATTGTGAAGCGATGCTGTATCATACACACCGAGGGAAATGATTAACAGTGCCCCACACACAGTTACCACCCGTGTGTCCAGTGGAGATATATTTTTGAACTTAAAAAAATAGATGATTTATTATTTAGTGTGTGTGTGTGTGTATGAGACAGAGAGAGAGAGAGAGACAGAGAGAGAGAGAGAGAGAAGGAGGGAGGGAGGGAGGGAGGGAGGGAGGGAGGGAGAGAGAGGGAGAGGGAGAGAGAGAGAGAGAGAGAGAGAGAGAGAGAGAGAGAGAGAGCGCGAGCTCGCGTACTCTCTGAGACAGAGAAAAAACAGAGTCAGCAGCAGTTCTGAAGGAAGGAAGGATGGGCTGAGTGGGAAGCAGTGGGCGTGGCTATGCAGTGAGCTTTCTATGCATCTGTGATACAAGCCAGAGAAACAGTGGAGAACTCTGGGAGAATGGAGCTCAGCAGAGAGTAAGACTTGAACTGGGTGTGGTGGTGCACACCTGTAGATGCCAACACCCAGCAAACAGAGGAGACAGTGCTCTGTGAGTGCCAAGGTCAGCTTGGTCTGCACAGCAAGTTCCCAGGAACTTGGAGAGACTGTCTCAAAACTAAGATAAATGATGCTAATTGTAATAATATAACGATAGTAATTATAGCTACACAATAATTAATTATATTAATTGTATGACGAAGAAAGCAGTTGATTTTAGTCCTAACATAGTAACAATCTTTTTTTTTTTTTTTTTTTTTGGTTTTTCGAGACAGGGTTTCTCTGTGTAGCCCTGGCTGTCCTGGAACTCACTCTGTAGACCAGGCTGGCCTCGAACTCAGAAATCCGCCTGCCTCTGCCTCCCAAGTGCTGGGATTAAAGGCATGCGCCACCACCGCCCGGCCATAGTAACAATCTAATTCCAAATCATGCTGGGGTTGTAAGTAGCAAAGCGGTGCACAGAGAGGGAGCTGCTGGTTGTTGAGCCAGAGGAAGTGACGTCCTGCATATCCACCACACAGCTGTTCTGCATCTCTCGCTTTTATAGTCTGTGACGTATCTGCATAGTCTTTAAAACTGTACTCCTTGGTTAGAGAGCAGTGTTGGTTGTATGACCGTGTAAATATATTAAAAACGGCTAAGTTGACTACTTAAGAAATGTGGTCTTCATACTGCTGAATTGAATATGGAAACCTGCTTCTCTGTTCCTGGTATTAGGACAAAAAAGATGATGCTCTGATTGGCCTGAAGTCCACAGCACTGCTGTTCAGGGAGGACACCAAGCAGTGGCTCAGTGGCTTTGCGGTTGCCATGGTGGGAGCACTGAGCCTGGCGGGAGCCAACAGTGGTCAGACCATCCCGTACTACGCTGCTGTGGCCATGGTAGGGGCCCACCTGGCTCACCAGGTTTGTATAAGTTACGGAAATTATTAAAACAACCACTGTTAACTAGGCAAGGGACTTCTTAAAACAAACAGGTGTTTGGCTTGTGTGGCTTTGAATTGTTCCTCCCTCCACCTCAGCTTGTCATATCAGAAGTTAGCATTGCTGGGTATGTGGCATAGGCCTTTGATCCCAGTATTCAGGAGGCAGAAGTAGGCATATCTCTGTGGTCCAAGGCCAGCCTGGTCTACAGAGTGAGTTCCAGGACAGCCAGGGCTACACAGAGAAACCCTGTCTCAAACAAATAAGCAACTAAACAAGCAAACAAACAAAATTAGCCTTTTTAATGTAGAGAAAAAGAACATGAGCATAAATAGGAATTTTTTTCTCTTCTTTAATTTTTCTGAAATTACTTCAGCTATAGCTGAAGCTTTCAGATTAAATTCATTAGTCCAAAAACAATCTGATAAATAATAATAATAATAACAATAATGCCAGACAGATGAAGGTGTTGCCACCAATTGTCTAGTCTAAATAGAAGTATACATTGACGTGTTAGGGAAGAGGGAATGGAAGTTAAGTGAGGCTGTTCTGGTTTATCTGCAGTGATGGTGTTGGGAAAAGAACATGTCTGACCATTTGGTCTGAGTCTCTGGATCCCCAGTGAGCACAGGCATGAGTTAGAAGCACATAGGTAGAACATCTTTGGTTGCCGTAGTAACCAAGGAGGGTCTACCTCATTTAGTGATCGAGAGCCAGGAATGTTCAGGGTCTTTCTCAGCTGAGAGACTGATGCAGAAAATAAGGCTGAAACCCAAGGATGTTAGCTGCAGGGCCCAAGATGAGTTCATATGTGGAAGGAAGGTCTTTTCCAAGGGCAAGAAGAGGTCCTTTCCTGAAGTGCTTAGGCTTTCCGGAAGGCTTTGATTTTAAACTTCATAAAAAGTTTGTGATACCCACATGTACATAAGATGTGTCTTAGGAATAGGACCCAAATTGTGTCACATCTGTCTTAGTCATGCAGCCTGAAGGTGCTCATGTACAATGATTTCAGAGTTCCCTGAATCCTGATCCATTCATCACAGAAGCCACACCACAGGGTCTAGCCACTGTGTCAGTTTGGGACGTTGGAATATTTCATAGCTTTTGATTAGAGAAGTCCAGCATGTGGTTAGAACCAGGCAGAGCGGTGGGTTGCCTCGGACATTCTCACAGCCTGGGCTCTTAGGGCACAGCTCGACTGATTGCCCCGTGAGAGATGCTTGCGTTTCTCCGCATTAGGAGATAGTTAGGATGTAGTAAGAGCTCCCTGGAGCTTAAGTTCTGTAACTGAGACTAAGCCATCTCCGCTGAATAGACCTGCTGCGCTGCCTACAGTCCAGGATGCATCCTAATTAGCTCCGTGCTCTCTCCTTTCAGATTTACACTGTAGACATCCACAGAGCCAAGGACTGCTGGGATAAGTTCACCTCCAACCGCACAGCAGGACTGCTCCTTTTCTTAGGGATTGTCCTTGGAAATCTGTGCAAAGAAAAGACAGAAGAAGCAAAAGAAGCCGCAGCCACTAGACTGGAAAGTGAGCAGACAAGCTGAGCGCCATCCTTCAGGAAGCAGAGGCAGGAAAGCCAAGAGGTCAAGGCATCGCGCGGCACAGTAGGACCCTGTCTCACAGAAGCCAACTGGCTAGAGCTGTAGTTCGTGGGAGAGTGTGTGGCATCATGCAAAGTGCCCAAGGCTCTGGGTTCTCTCCTAGCAAACAAACTTGTTTGTAAAAGTCTCAGGGCTTGAGACCGCAGTTAGATTTGGATGAGCAATCTGTTAAAGAAGTAAGAAACTCTTGGGCAGTATGTGCTGGATTTTACTGCAGCTGTTTTCAAATGCCTCCCTGTCCCAGCAGCCAGGGACTCATGGGGTTGAGTAGACCCCAGTGTTTACACTGTGCAGCTTTCTGTCCTCGTTCCTTCTCATCTGAAGTTTCAGGAACGTCAGAAAACAACTTGTGTAACGTATCTAATGCTTTGTATGAAATGGCCATATGCTTTATTTTATTTCTAAGAATCTCCTGTGAGAAGTTGGGGCACCTTTACTCACTGCCAAAGCTGTAATTCAAGAAGCCATTCTGATTCTAGATGCTTTAGAAGAATAAAAGCAAATAAAATTGTTACTTACATCCATGTATGTGTCTCTTCATTACAGCCCTGACAGAAATTTTGATGAGTATTTATTTCTTCTTTATCTTGGCCAGTCCTAGTCTGCGGAATGGTAACATATTACATAAATGAACTCTTTCCTCCAAGTTACCCTTTCATCATGTGTCTATCAAAGCAGCCAGAAAACCTAAGTGAGGTCAAGTCATTCCCCAGCCCACACTCCAGGGTCCCCCAGTCACTCAGGAAATGCCAAGTCTGACTGCCGGCCCAGCCTCTGACCTGATCATCTCTTACCCTTCAGACTCACACTGCCTGCCGCACTGTCCCACGCTGAGCAGACACCTCACCCAGGGCCTGTGCACTTACTATTCATTGGCCATAGTGAAAATTCTGCCTTTCTCTTCACAGCAGGCCTTCAGATATCACTCTCTCAAAGAAGCTTTGAATTTTCAGCAAATACTACCTGTGTTTCTTTTCATTCATTTTAGATTTATTTTTATTTTATGTGATGAGTTTTACATGCATGTATAAGTATGTACCATGTATATGCCTGGTGCCCATGGAGGTCAGTAGAACATGTCAGATCCTTCTGGAATTGGAGCTCAGGATGGTTGTGAGCCACCCTGTGGTGCTAGGAATTAACCCCGGTCTTCTGCAAAAGCAACGAGTCTCCAGCCCTTGATAACTTTCTCCTTTTATATGTCTAATACATGGTTTTGTTGGCCGGTATGTTCATGTACCAAGTGCATGTAGTGCCCACAGAGGCCAGAAGAAAGCATCAGATCCCTGGTTCTGGAGTTAACAGACAGTAGTAGCTACCCTTTGGGTGCTGAGAATTGAACCTGAGTCCTCTGGAATTTCAGCCAGTGTCCTTAACCACTGCGCCATCTCTGCAGCCCCATCAGTGCTCTTTCAGTCTGTGCTCTTGGTTGTTTTTTCCTTTGGATTATCAATTACTAGGTGGAGATCTAGTGTACTTGATGTAAGGAACTCTTACTGACGGCGAGGTGACTTCGGCCCCTGATGCTGGACTGCAGTAAGCATTAGCTTGAATGGCAGTAGTCCCCGAGGCTCTCAGAGTGTTGAGAGGTCACAAGGTAGCAGCCCTACTTGCCTCACAGCAGTGGAATGAGGGGAATCAGGAAGGATCCAGTCAGGGAAAAGCTTGAAGGAAAGGAGATAACATTCTGGCAGCTGAATGAAAGACAACCCCTACTTTGCAGCTGGATGCTATCTCCCTGTCTGTTACCTCCCTGGGCCAAAGGGCTCAGGAGATGAGGAAATGGAAGAGGGAATGAGGAAACTGAGAAAGAAAAGGGGGGGCCTGGGGGACTAAGAGGGGAGAGTCCAGATACACTAAGAAAGCCCCGCAGAGCCCACCAGACAGTCTGGAGAACTCACCCTTCCCTACAGGAGCTTTCTACCTGTTTCACCTTCAACAAATGCTTGTCACCTGATTCCCTGGGGGAAGAACCCGGACACCTGGACAGCCAGCCCTCAGGATAGGGATGTTTGAAATGCTTAGACGCCAGTCCATTAGCCCTGGCTTCAGGGAAAAGGATGGATGTAATGAATTTCAATTGTATTTCATTTCACTAAGTGAGCTACTGGAAGCGACCCAGAAACAAACCTTAAAATTAATGAAAAGCCCCAGCATTCGTGAGAAACGGGACAGGAATCACAAATCCTCTGCTTTGTAAAGATGCTTTGACTTAATCAAGTTTTAGGCTTTTTTACTCTTTCTTACCATAGTAAGACTGAAAATGTTATGTGGGTGGATAAGGGGAAGATGAGAACAAAGGGGGAGTAGGTTATAACCCCGAGAAGGACAGAATCAACCAAGCTCAGGTCAGGAAGGAGCCCAGCGGCTGTCCGAGTCCTATCCAGGACCATTCTGCTCCAGGCCAGGTGAGGGGACTTGCTGATGTGACAGGTTAGGGAAAATGTGCTCATTGGAGACCCTCGCCCAAGTCCACTTCTGAGCCTGTGGGTAGAACAGAAACCAAAGAGCCATAGAGCCCCATCTGCTGCATCATCGGATGGTGGGCTGGAGGCGGGAACGGAATCACATATTGAATTGCATCCCGGTGGCCACCTCTCCTTTTTCCTGGTACCCTTGCTAAGTATCCAATGTCTCCACCAGACTGTAAAGGGCCTCATCATGCTCCTCGGGTCACACTTAACCATCCTGTTAGAGAATCTGCCATAGGCAGGTGAGCCCACTGTGAATCCGTGAGACAGGCAGGAAGAAGCCCTCAGGCTCTGAATTCTGCCAACATTTAGCTAAACTGGCTTGTGTCACCTCCTGTATGGGCAGAGTCTAAGCCCTGCCACATTCATGTTTTGAAGTCCTAACCCTGAATATTTCATATGGCTGCATTTGCAGATTAGGCCTCTGAGAAAATGACTAACTTAAAACAAGGTTCTAGGTGAGTGACTGTCCTGGGAAGGAGAGACGATGGAGGCACAGGGTGAGCTGGTGTGATGGCACATGCCTGCAATCCCAGCTTTGACAGGTACCCTAACTCTAACCCTAACCCTGGCTGAGAAATCCAAGTCAGCCTGAGCTACAAAACCAGACCCCAAAACCAGACCACTACAAAACGTGCCGGCTAACAGCAGAACAGTGGCTAACAGCAGAACGGTGGCTAGGATCAAGGGCTCACAGCTCACTTCCAGCACCCAGAAGACTGAGGAAATTAATTTTCTTGCTTAAGGGGCCCTAGAAAGCTACTGTCCCTTTCATGGCAAGGGCCACACTTCAAACAGAATCCACCTGAAGTTCTGCCCTCTCCACTCCAGTTCTCTCTCAGCTCTCTCTGGCCCTTCCTGTGTCTGCTACTGGAGTAAGCTGGAAAAAAAAGACCCCAGAACTTACTAATGTTACCTTATATGGTAAAGACACCACAACTATGCCTGAGCTAGGGGCCAGATGAGAAAACAACCCTCTTGTATCTAGAGTACAGAGTAATCCTAGGCTCTCTTTGTGCAGGATGGAGATCGAAGGAAGTAGGAGGAGATGGTGTCACAGAAAGCTAGAGATACACTGAGGACAGGGAGGGAGGAGATGTCCTCACAGAAAGCTGGAGACACACTGAGGACAGGGAGGCGCTGTGCACCAAGGAATGTAAAGGGCTGACATCGCAGACCCAGAGGGACCCCCTGCTGCCACCGTCACCTTAGCCCAGCGAAGCTGATTGGAGGCTTATAATTTCCAGAACTATAAGCTCATGCACTTGATCTGTTTTGAGCCACTAGATGTATAACAGTTTGTTATATACAAAATGAACAATTCCAACTCTTGTAGCCTGTCTTCCAAATTCCCTGAGAACCTGCCTGGTCCATACCTCAGAAACAGCACAGCAACATGGTTTGTGATCACTGCCTTAAACCCTCACTTCTCGGAGGTCTGGTTGTTTAAGTAAGATAAATGTGTTCATTCCTTAACAGTAACCACACAGGAATAAGCTGTTTCTTTTACAACCTGTGATTTCCAGGGGCACTGAATATTTTGCAATGTGTTAGTAGGAAATTTATGGCTTTTGGCTTGTCTGGGTGCCTTTGCCCACTGGGTAACAGTTATTGTAGGTGCAAGCTGCCTTGTTGAATAGTAAGTCCCCAGGATCTTGTAGGAGGAGCTAAGGTGGGAGGAGTTAGGAGAGGGAGAGGAGTAGTAAGGAGGAGAGGAGGAGAAGCAAGAGGAGGAGCTAGGAGAGAAGAAGGAGAGAGAAAAAATGGAGGTGGATGTTCACGTGTCTGTAGCAGTCAAAGGTAGCTGGTATATCTAGGTTGGGTATTGGGTTACACTTTTGATTGTATGATCATTACCAAATATATAAGCTTTCAGATAATTTAAGCATTAGAGTCTCATTTTCCTACTGGGCCCGCGTGGATGGCAGGATGGTCTTGGCAACGCCCAGCCTTGCGGAGACAGCGTGGAAGATTGGCAGAGCCATCTCCCATGCTGACGTCTCGTGGGTGGCAGGGCTGGTGTTTCTTTCTGGCCATTTCTAGCTTCAGGGTGCACGTGGCCTCCGGCTGAGAAACATGGTGGCTGAGCTAGGGAGAGCCGACACAGCTTAGATAGTCAATTTGACCAGTGGCCAATTTTTAAATAATTACTTCGACAGATCTGACATTAGACAGACTTCTGTTCTCACTGATAACATCATCGTATTATCAGTAGAGGGAGGATTTTAGGTTTTGTACTTTATACAGAACTCTCTCTTCTTTGGAAAAGGGAACATGTGTAACGTCTATAGACGACCTGGTCGGTCATCAAACACTTGAAGCATCGCTCTGTGGGAGACCCAGTCTGCTTGCTTCGGACAGATGAATTAGGCATTTTCCGTCTTCTGAAAGTGTTTTAGTGTTGTGTGCAGCACCATGCCATCCAGTATGGCAGCCACATGAAGCTGGTAAACACTGGAAATATGGCTCTTCTGAACCCAAAACCCAAGTTGTCTGTAAGTATAAAATACACACTTAACTATAAAAACTCTGTATTAAAAAACACAAAATATGGGGGCTGGCTTTGAATGTCTGCTCTTCCTGCTTCAGACTGAAGGCTGGATGGGATTGCACGCTCTGTACTACCATGCCAGGCTCCCAAATGCCTTCTTTTGTCCGATACCAGCACATAAGCACAAAAGTGCACAAGCACAGGCTGAGGCAGAGACTCCTCCCTTTGGCTGAATGATGGTACCAGCGTCTCTCTTTGTTTCTAGGACTCAAAAAACTCCTGTCGAAAGCCAAAGCTTGTAGAAATAGGACGAGTTTTTTGCCACATGAGAAGTGTAAGAAGAACGAACCTTTGAGTCCACCGCGCTCCTAACCGCACAGCTCCACAGACCATTGAGACGCCTCCAGGCTCACCCTATTTATGTTTATGACAGAACTTAAATACGTGACAGTCAGCCCTGGAAACTCAACCCTCCCACCCCAGCCTCCTCAGGAGACGGGGTTGATAGGCCTGTGCCACCAGACCAAGATTCAGTGTGCAGTAAGCAGGCTTGGGCACTAAC